GGCATAGACGCAAATTAGGTTTGCCAATGCGTAGATATGTTCGAAGTGGCTGAATCGGCGGCAGTTGTGGAGGATACTGATTAGGACCAGCTGACTGTGTTGAACTGTCTCTCCGGGAACCGGCGGCAGAAACCCGCTGGCAGAGCCGCCGCCACTGGAGGCGTGTCTGAGGCGCCACAGCCACGGCGAGAACAACCAGTCAATGACGACGATGGAGGAAGACGAAGAGGACGGGAAGAGGAAAACGACGTCTTTGGATCCAGATTTGCTTGCGTCAAGGCAGAGGTGAGAAATTACTTTCCAGGACATGAAGGAGAGATTATCATGCCTCCTGGGTTTAAGCGCACTGGGATTATCAAAGTTAAGGTTTGATTGATTTCTTCATTAGATGTAAATGGTGAAATTATCAAAAAGTAAGTACTGGAACTCAAGAAAGAGGAATTTTCGTTTTACTATGCCCAGCTATGTTGAAATATTTTGGTAAAAATTTCTGATTTATGGACACAGTATAGCAAAATTTGACTAACAAGAATATAAAAGAGAAGAATGCATAGTTGATGTTCAAAAATTCATCTGGTTATAAGAAAATGTTCATCATTGTTATGGTGCTATATTTACATGCAAGTTATCCCAGTTCTGAGAAGGCTTGCCTTTTCTATTGCAAGGATGCAGTGAATGATGGCATAAGTTCCATGTAAGGAAATAGCTTTTGGGTCAAATGTTAATAATTTGAACATTTTTCTAGAAGCACGTGTTGTGGTTGAGATTGGAAGAAGGCTAATCAGTTTAACATCTGAAATAGCAAAAAGCACAAATTATGCGCTTTATATTGACTATCGACTAATAACATTAGAAGAATTGGAATTACAAAAATTGGAATTAAGGAATATAAAATTGATCATTACTACTACCACTACTGTGCTACTTTGAAGAACTACCATGCGTGTTCACTTGAATAGTTTAATCAACAAAGAAGGTTCTCTCTCACATAATCATTCTATTGTTTACTTGAGTCTTTTTTTTTTTTTT